CTCCTAAGAGAATCCTAAAATTTTTAGGATAGTCCTAAAGTTTTTTTAGGATTTCGTGCATTGTGGTTACATGCATTCCTAAAAGACCATCGCTTAGGACCAGTCCTAAAAGAAAGTCGTAATTAAAAAGAAAAAAAAAAAAGAAAAAAAGTCATGCTTCAGGGTTTCAGCCAATAGTGTGCACCAGGAGTCCAAGACAACGGTGCCATGCGCACGTCGCCACGACTCCGTCAAACGCGGGAATACTAAAAATTTCAGTAGGTCGAGGGCTACTGCTACGACAAACAACCCTATGCAGCTATGTGGGAGGTATTCTTCGTCCCTCGCACACATAGCACAAAAGGTGAAACGTCTTTCAAACGGGCGCAGAAAACAAAGAACCATCTGAAAACAATTACTAAGGGGCCTGTTAGACACTCCTCGGGCGCGTAAATCCCCCGAGGAAAATTTCGTTCCACCTATTCTCGGGGATGAAAACGAAAAAAAAAAGTGAAAACATTTCCTTGGGAAATCCTCGGCGTGTCCTCGGGCTACAGCCATTTGGTGACATTCCCCAAGGGACCTCCTGAGGTCCCTTGGAGGTCAAGGATCCACGATAATCGGAACGGCGAGGGCACCCATCGTCGACAAGAAATTTCCGTCGGCTGATCCATTGGAGTTCCTACCGGGCAGCGCACGGACATCTTGGGTCTTCAACGTTCGGCTTCCATGAACCTTACGCGAACGGTAACCGTTGGTGGCCGGCCGCCCCCCGTGGACGTCGTCGACCAGTGTTCTCCCTCGCAGTGCGTGCTGCCAAATGGAAAGGGGTCGAACGGTCGGCAAATTTGAATACTTCAGTCGACACCCCTTGCTCCAATTGCCCACTGTATTCCGCGACGAAAAACGTCACAAGGCGTTGTCCCATGCTGCGGTCTGCCGTTTAGAGCCCTCTTCGGCGCCGTTTGCTGGAGGTGTACCGTCCCCTTCCCCACTTGCCTTTCATGTCCAACGTCTTTTGAAGGCTGCCGCTGCTGCTCCTGGTCATCCTTTTGCTTGTCCTTGTCGTCTTCTTCCACATCTGCATCCTCGGCAAGGTGCCTGGACGTACATGTAAGAGGGGGTCTGCAAAGAAGGACGTCGGCAAGGACGGGCGGCAGGCGAAGAGCAGGTCTTCAGTGAACCACTCTAGAAGCCACCGCGCAGGCCATGGCCCGGCTCGCTGTGCAAGGGCGTACGACCCATTAGAGTGTGTGTGTCATATGCTCTCCGTCTGCTCCCTTCATCATCGCGGCCCTGTCGTACGTGTTGTTGATGGCTGACCTATATTGAAGGTTGCCACTACTGCTCCTCGTCACAATTTTGCTTGTTGTCGTCCTCCTGTTCCACGTGTGCTTCATCTATCGTTGATGGCTGACCTCTATCGAAGGCCTCCAGCAGAGAAGACGGGGGATCGACACCAACTGCAGTCGACATCGACATCTACAGCTCATCCCGCGGACATTCGTCCACACTAGATGCAATCGCCATCGCCCGAAAGACACGCGGCAACATACGCAGCTTCTCCCAGAAGTACTCCGTCGCATCATCGCATTGCCCGAGATCCTCCCACACCCCCCCCATCCTCCTTTTCATCCACCACCTCGATGTCGCTCATGGAAGAACACTGCGACCCATGGCGCAGCAAACCTGAACTGCAGCCTCGGTGATGGCCACGATATCCAGCCCTTCGACCGGGACTTGATGAAGCGTCTTCCTCCTCCACGCGCGGATCTGCGCTCTCATTCTACCCAATGCCCTCTCCTGCTAACAACGAAAGAGCACGGTCGTCACGACCGCCACCACGGCCATCTTCTCGATTGTCGTCAACTTCGCACGCCCGTCGTCGCTGCTGCCCTCAATTGGCATGTGTGTTGCAATGATCATGAACCATGAAAATACAACACCCTACCAACTCGGCATGACCACAGTAACCTCAGCGCCAAGTCCCCGACGACATTCCCCACGTGTGCTCGATTCAACACATAGGTGCGGCGGCATGCAGAGGCGATGGCAATGGACCTTTGCGGGGCGCTCACAAATTCGTGACGACCTACAAGGACTCCACTACGCCGCTCCAAATGCCCATTTCCACCGTCACAGATATAGATGTCACCTGCCCCGCGTCCCCGTCGTGACGTCCAGCACCCAATTTGAAATTTGATTTTCAAACGGGGAGGCCCATTGCTTTTTAAGGGTTTTTCTTTTTCCGGTTGGCAACACCTTTCAAAATTTTCCGCCTTTGGCAGCTGGACCACACCGTAGCAAGACGGACATCACCCAATGGACCCAGGCATTGTGCCCCCCCGTGGCTGACTATAATATTATGAAAATGGCTTCCGGCGGCCGAAAGGAGTCATCCTTGGGAGACCACCCCAAGGATAGGTGGAACTCGGTGGTAATTTCCTTCAAAACCCCCAAGGAAATTTCCTTGGGCCCCGAGGACGCCCCAAGGAGTGTCTAACGAGCCCCTAAGACTAAAATTGGAGAGCAAAACAGCATCTGCAGTCACCGAGCCTCTCAACGAGTCTGGGGCCGGGATCGGGATCAATGTCATGCTCCAATCTCCTCCCAGAATCAAGTTTTCCAAATGCAGGAGAAGCCGTAGTAGGGATTTGAAAAAGGCCTAGCTCAGTTGGTAAGGCACGCAAGTGGCATTCAGGAGGTCTTGGGTTCAATCCCCATTGGCCTCATGTACCTTCCTGGGCAAGCTTGGCGCCCGCCACCTAGAGATATGCCGTTGGTCCCCCCGAGTGGCATTCAGCAGAGACTGCTGATGTTCATAGGGGGAGGGGACCGGAGGCCCATCGAAGAAGCTCGGTCCTGATGCTACCGGCTGACCCCTGGCCGGTATCGCCCACCTGCTGTAGCAGGTATCGCACCTGCTGGTGGGTGCCGCTCCCGCATGTTCCCTCGTTGGAGGCTTGAGCACGGATGTGGCTGCTACGGGGTTTCCCCGTAATACTATAATGACAATAAAAAAGGCCTGAAAGGCCGTCCTGTCCAGATTTGACAGGTAATTGAATTGGTTGGGCTTAAAGAATTAGCCTTAAAAAAAAAAAAAAAAAAAAAAAGGTCTATTCGGGCCGGGGTATAAGGATGGGGTGTACACATTAAGCCAGTGCTGTCACGCAGTGATCCCCCGGAGTCGCGGTTTAAACCACCAGTACTTGGCCCATCTATTGGTCGCGGAAAAATAAGGAGTAGAAACATTTCTAGTCGGATGAGAAATGCACATAGCCCTTTTTCTGAAAAATGGGTTATCCTGCGGGGAATTCGGAAGCCCCCGACCCTGTAGACCCCCAGTTCAACGTCATGCCCACCCACCCCCGCAAGCCAGGGACCCCTGACCCCCACCCCCACTCCTTGCCCACAACCCCGGCCACAGAAGTCCCCCCCCCCACCCTGAACCCTGCCCGCACTCACCCCTGCACACCCGACCCC